GCTTTTCATGAAATATTTGTATTTGTAGAAGAAAGTAAACACGGACATTTTGTGAAACTGGCTAAACCCCATTTTCAGACTAGTCAATGTTTACTCTCATGAAGTCCTACGTACTGCTAACTGGCAAAAGATATGTCACAAGCTCAAAATATTGATAGAAGAAGCAGCAAAGGTGACTTTCCTTATTAGCTGATGCTGCTCTCCTGAACCCGATGATGCTCATGTTCAAACATAGATCCTGTACATCTAGATATGTGTTCAAATAACTGAAATAATTAAGAGGAACGAGAACAGCAACAAAAAGAGCTCGCATCACCAATTTATACACAACCAGCAGTTACATTTTACGTGTTTTTTTCTAAAATGATTTATTTTTTCGTTCCAGGAAAGATTCTTTCTTTTTGTCTAATTAACTAACATTGAACATTTATTTCTTGCTTCAATTAGGAAACCTCGCTGCCTACTGCGTAGTATTTTACTTGTGACATTACATACGCTGACTGATGCAGATACTAATATTTACAACAAAGTAACGGGTAAAAGTGACAATCGAATACGTTTGCTGAATCCAAAAACTTTCTCCTGTTTCAAAGGAAAGTGAGCATGAGTGATATTGTTATGCAAACTAGACCTCTAATTGGCTGTTACTCAATGGATGTTGATTTTTGAACATTTTCCCCACCATCAAAGCCAAGCTTCCATTACACCATTTGCACCTTTGATGTTCACTTTTATACTCGGTTGCCTACATAATAAATCGGCACAATAATTGCAGATATTTTCCTTCCTATTTTATCAAAAACTAATGTGTGGAGTACGAAATTGTCGCTGTTTAGCGTACATGTGAACATATCTTCCCATATCAACATATTTTAGGGGGGATTTGCAACATAGGTTGCACAACAAGGGTGCATGATAGACCTGGTTCACAGAGAATATCACGCAATGAGAATCAATAATTATCGGGACAAAATTGGTTTCTTTTGTTTAGAGGCGTTGTGTGTGTCGTGCAAGTGTAAAATTTATCAAACGACAAGACTTTCCTATTCGCCAGTATCAACATACTTGACCTGTACTATTTTACTGCAAATAATAGCAACGTTATTTTTATGATGTCGACCAGGTGTGTGCTTGTTCAAGAGGCTCATGAATTAATGATAAACCCGAACAATGACACATGAACATTCCTTTGTTTGTTCTTATTCGCCCCAACCGATTACAAATTGAAAGTTTGGCTGAAGATTTTCCGAGTAACAAATACAGAGTCCAACAAGTAGCAAATATTTGCATGTTATATTGTGCACACAATCTGATTATGACATGAATATGCGAAATACACAAATAGAACTTCCCTTTGAATTATTAGTACGTTTGAAAGGAGATTTATGCTTACCGGACCAATAGCGTTACCCCAAAGCTTGGAGGATGTATAGAAATTAGGTCGGATTTAAGAGTTGTTATCGTCGAGTTAAAGCTTTTGCAGGGGATTTTCGAATACTTTGGTAAGCAGCTTAAAAGGGGAGGATCAGCCAAAACTGGAGAAAGTTGTGAACCAGTTCAAGGGACCAACTGTTGCTTATTCCATCACCAGGACAGAGAAACTCTTGAAGACTACTGACAACCGTTTCGCCGGAGAAAGTGTGTTCCCTCGCTCTCTCTCTCTGTTAAATACAGAAGAAAGTTGGCAGCAGCAACCCAACAACAAGCCCACGAAACCAACCAAGGAGCGAGGAGTGTGATGATGAAGCAACAGTTTCTTTGGGACCATCCACGTCTTACCACCCCCTTCTCCACCTGCTGACCTTCACCACAATCCGAATCTTTTCCGTGACCAGCTTCTGATACTTTTATCAACAACAGACAATAAAAACCCTTCATCGATGTGCTCAAAGACTTATTGCAATCCGTCATAACCTGCAGAGTAACATATGTATTGGCACACAATAAGTTCCACTTTATTACCGTTGTCAGATATAATTACACATTTCTGCATACTTTCCGTAATGTGAGATGATTGAGTAGAATTCACTCGAAAGTAGAGAGATGTGAGAACGTGACACACTTTCTCCTCAACTCCAGCTCCCTTTCACCCACCAGTTTCATTATGAACAACCCTTCCTCTCACTCGAGTGGATTTTAATAATATGCAAGAGAGGAATGTTGCCACTCGAGTTGCGGACAGCGTGGTGATATAACGAGCTCAGCGAATGTACGTATGTACGTATGGCATGTAATAATAAATGTCAATTGATACAAACCGTATATATTTAATACGCAGTATTTGTATTACAAGATGGATGGTGTAAGCAGTAGGCACATTACATACAACAAAAACGATGACAAAGTTGAAAGTACATAGGCAGCTCAAAACTCATAACTGCCAATTTACTCTACTTTCATCCCACGTCCAATGATGCAAAACTTGAGAAAGTTGTAGCGAATTAGACGGGCAATCAGTGCCAGTTACGTACACACAAGATATATAACAACACATTATAACAACTTCTAACACAACTTTCTTTCAAAAAGTTTATAATAACGCAACTTTTTAACGGGGTTAATTCGCTAGCAGATATTCTGCAAGAAAACATTATTATTTTAAACTGTTTTATGTGAACTTTAAAGTCTTCATTATAAGTTTATGTCTTTTCTCCCTCTCTCTCTCTCTCAGTTAATGGCTGTAATTCTAACCATTAAACCGTAACTAGTATAATTTTAAGAAACTTGCCATGTTGGTTGCACAATCACTCAAAGCATTGTACCCTCTTTAATGAGGACCTTTGCAAATAATCTCCATACAACGGTTTTTCACTGTACATGGTGCTTTTAATTGAATATTCGCATCGGAGGCCATTAACGTGGGGATTATATTTATTTAGTACGACGTACATAAAATATCGAACGTTCTGGACGCATTAACGGCATGAGACATCATCGTGAATGGAAGTCTTAGCAAAGGAAAGGAAATTAGCATCGTCTTATAAGTACTACTGATTTCATACATGTGTACTTGTTCACTATGCGCATATGTACATGGAGATGTACATATTATGCATATCTACCGATAAGACTCTGGGAGGAGAATATGGTGCGTGGGAACAGGGGACGATGTCGCAAAAGCTGAGGTGAATGACGACCATGTCGGATTGGAAATGAAGCAGAATTTCATCAGCTCCTTTTCGGGCTTCCCCAATAATAAGCACGTTCTGCATATTGAGACAGTTATTCATGCTTTTGTCCTGCCGTTTGATCTCTGCTCGTGTACATGCATATATTCCTCTCCTCCTCCTCTTCTGGGGAACTCGAACAAGTCGCTTGCTTGCCATCGACGACGACGACGGTGAGAACAGTACAGGAGCGGATTGTATTATGTATTTGTAATCTGGGCAAGGTGGCTGTTTCCGGGAAACAGGTAGCTTGGATACGATGTGCGGGGAGAGACTTGTCCCCGGGCTCAGTTCCTTCCCTCCTCGCTCCGTCGTTACTGGCTGCCTGGTTGTCGGGGTGGTTGGCTGCCTGCCTATGGTTCCAGCCTTTCTCTGGAAAAAGAAAGCACCTTGATCCCATCCAAATAAGTAATACGCACTTGAGGTTAGAACATAAGTGAAGCCATGCAGGACCAGGTGAACTGTGGTGCTGAAATTAGCCATGAATCCCTACCTACTTGCTTGTCTCACTCATCGGAGCTCTGGACTTTAATGGTCTTTCACTGTCCTTTCACAACATTTTCATTTGTAGCCAAGCGAAGAGATGTATAGAGCTCACAATGGAGATGTTGAGATAGCAGATGAGCCACGCGTATTTATTTCGCCTGGAGCAGGAACGTTTTTGCACGTGAGCAAAAATCAATGTCGCTTTCTCAATTGATAAAACGTGGTAATTCGTGCTTCAGGTGTCATTGAAAAGTGTTGAGAAGGGGAGCATAATGAAAATAATGAGCATAATCATGTTGGTTTATTATTACTGTGTTGGTAATAGAAGAGCAGTATTCATTTCATTTCACGGGTTCTTTCACATTCATTTCCCAACCTATACTTTCTCCAAGCCTGGGGCACAGTATGTAAATAATTGTGCAGAGAACGGGTATATAGCTTATCCAACCAAACCTTTTTCCCATCAAGTATCGCTTCACAGATTAGGCTGCAAAGGAAAACAAGTTCAAATTATCTCCTTGAATGAGAATAAAATTGAATTAAAATAAGGTTTACGTTTCCAGCAATTTCATGCTCATAAAAGTACATGACTTTTTATATAATATTTAACTACAGTTGAGCAGAAATTAAAAACGTGTCACTAAATTTATGTATATCTTGTATATTTTCCATGAAGTGATGGAAGGTCCAAATATACATGTGCACAACAACTACATATGTATACAACTATGTAATACCAAGTTTTAATCACGCTTAAACTCTTATTTGCTTTAGTTACCTAAATGGGATGTCATAATATTTTCAGGGATTCATATTCCATCCACGATTATTGTCCAACAAATATCAATTGGATTTCCTCATGCACAATTTATTTATCAACGAAAACTGGGTTTGTTGAAAGTGAAAGAGTAGTCCTCTTTCCAAAGAGAAAGCAAATTCTGGAGGAAAGTTCGCCCTCAACTCGCCAGCGATCGCTACAGACACGATCACCATTCCTGGGGTTCTCTATTCTCCTCCATGTATGACATCGTCTCTGATCTTATCGTTAAGCTATTTAGTTAAATTAACATGCACATTTCAGAGCAGTATAGCCTGCATAGGATACGGTTGACTGATATAGCATGTTGCTGTACGCACTTCATATCAGTTGAATGTATGTATGAATTGTGTGATGAAAACCACAAAGAGAATTTTACAAATAAATTACGATAAACTTAACCATCATTGATTTTAAAACGATAAATTTAGAAGTAGGCCAAACGGACATTGACACTTGTACGTTTCTGATAACGCTGAATGCTGCCTAATGATTGAGGTATATATACATAAAATTACAACCACCACAGATTATTTTGATATGAGGAATTTAAATTTATTGCACTAGTACCACTGCCAACCACATTTCTTTACCAACATAAATTAAATAACCAGCCTGTTACAAAAGACTAAGGCAGCACCGGAACAAAAGTGTATTTTAGTAAGTAGTAAGTAAATGTTGTAAATATGCAAGTAAGAATTCATAAGAAAGGAACAAAAAGAGTTCTTAAATTTTCTCGCTAGTCTGGATTGCGTTTTCACCTTCGGCAATTTCTTGAAGCTTCTATAGGAAAAATCACAAGAAAATCTTTTAACAAATATTCCAATATCCACATAAATTGAATTGAGCGAACAAAATGCGTAATTTCGTATTGTGTACCCGCATGGAAGCTGCGGAAATTGAAACGATGCACTGCCGTCTCTTCGACATTTTATGAATGTCTTCTGCTGGGGAATCTTCCGCTGTAATTTTCAGGTGTTTACCTACATGCACAATAATAAATACAAGTAAAACCTTACGGAATATACGGAATATATATTACAGAAAGTACTAAGACTTCATAGACCACGTAAAATTACGCTGATGACTTTATTTATAAACGTAATTTTTTACCTTCTTGTGTTAACCCAATTGTCCCATCACGAGCGCCAAATGCCACACCAAATACATTGTTAAGCGACTCTCTCATAGAATCTTTGTTCACGGCGAATTCGTACAGGTTTGCCGAATCTCTTTCACCCATAAAATCGACCAGACTTTTTTGAAACTTTTCAACAACCTGGTCATTGGCTTTGGATTTCGCAGCACTAGCCTCCTTAGTTATGCTAACCTCTACTTGGGTAGCAATTAGGGAGTCGGGGTCGAAATTTCTTGTTTTTCGCTTAACTTCTTTCTTCTTCGGCTTCTCGACGACAAGACCTTCCTTTGCCAAATACTCTTTATAGTCAAAGGCTCCAACTAGAGTGGGAAGATTAGATGCCACTTTCCAATGTCCCAATACAAGTTGATACATTTTTAATTCCGCAACGTCCGTTGAGTCAGTTTCGACTTCGTCGTCCGCAATCATTTGTTTCTAGGAATCATGTTATTATTATATTATAAGGCGTGTGATAGATATAGCAAATGACATGACATGACATACCAATCCGTCAACGTAGTCATCAATAGAGATCAGCGTTTCTTCAAGACCCATTTCATCCGTCCGTTTTCGCAACAAATGTGCACACATGTTTGTATGTTTATATGCCAAAAACATTTCCGACGGTTTGACAGCCTCTACACACATCACATAAATTGATCGAAATTGTTATGTATAAATTAAATAGCATTACGTGTGGTCGCCTTCGCTGCCTCATCTATAGTCTGCGATAGTTGCTTTTTCGTACTGGCTCGCCGACGTGATGAGTCTTCTTGAAGCGAATCAGCATTTTTAGTGCTTGGTGTGGATTCGCCGTCCTCAATCGACGACTTGCGCTTTTGTCGCTGCCACATAGTCTTGCTCCTTTCTAAAAGTCTGCTGTCCGGCATGAACTGTTTTTGGAACACTGTAGCGCTTTGTTTTACTTGCTGTCGCAATATCTTATCTTCGTTAGTTTTAAAACCTTGTTTGTCATCCAATTCTGTATTTTAAATTAAATTGCTTCATAAGATAGATATTCATGTTTGCATTTCAATCCACTCTGACTAAAATATTTTGTCATACCATAACACGTGTCCATCATTTCATACAAAGCGATTTTAGTTTCATTCATGCTGGTAAATTCATTATCATCCAAATCCAAAAGCGACTCTGAGGAATCACTATCCTGTTCGTAATTGAAAATACTAAGGTCTCCCTGACTATCCTCAGAATTTCTTTGCAAATCAGAATGGGACGATTCTTCATCTTCTTCCTCCTGGTCGTCATCTTCATCATCATCATCATCGCTTTCACTTTCATCACTGACTTCATCACTGTCTTCTTGTTGTCGTTTGCTTTCTTCTTCCAATTGTTTTTGCCGGATTTCTTCCTCCATTTCCAACCTCATCTGACGGGAACTTCCAGGAGCGGACATCCTATCAAATTAAAAATGTAGATATATTATATATTCGACGAAAAGCCGGAAATCAGTATTATACATACACAACGCCTTTATCTCCATACATTTACTTACCTTTGATGTTTTTTACCAGGAAAGTAAACAAACTTAGATTTGTATTGTAATTTATAATTCTAATTTCAATTTTATAGAACTTTCGACATTCGAGTAGCGAACTCCAAGTCCTTCGGCATAAGGCGAGTGCGGCAATCTGGTGATGCGATGAGTGTACAAGGCGGGTCTGGCAGCCAAGTTGGGGCCAGGTGAGATGGTGGCTACCCAACTTTCACCTGCTCTCTCCTCCATCCATCCATAATTAAACATGACCAGAATGTGACCACCATTTAGTAACACAATGCACTAGTAAACACGACATTTTCGTATGTTAACATACAAATATCTGCATAATAATGTACTCCCTTCCATTTATGCATAAATTTATCTTGACGATCTTCAATCAGTAAAACGTACGTTATAAGTATGTTTTATTAAAGCCAGTCTGCCGCCTATTATTACCAAATAAATACACATATCCCCAATACCACTGTATAATTATGTGCAATTCAATCATCATTAATATATGATCACATCAAACACAAATATAATAAATGGGACTCGTCTCATCATTCATTATTAGTGCATCCGGAAAATACCATTTATCTGAACTCATTTCGTTTCATGGCTGATTACTAAACTGATTGTTTGACTGCCTTCCCTGCGCACCCCGAATAAACCAACAATGTCCCGTCCCTTTTCTTGGTACGATACATGACAAAGTTGGACTTTCACCGAGCAGAAGCTGCTTCCGTGTGTACTTTTGGGAGAAATGAACTCTGGTGGTGGTGGTGGTGGTGGGAAGAAAGTGAGGTATACAGCAGGCGAGGAGTATACCCGAACGAGTGGAGGAAATTGCATGGTAGATTTGCAACGGGGTTGTTGAACTCGTCTCACAACAACGTTGGCGAATTGCATTGCGAACTCGGGTTTGGTTGCATCCTGTCCACAAATCCTGTCCTCCGCTTTCTCTCGGCCCGAGAAATTCTCCAATCTAAATAACCGCCTAAAAAGTCACAAACAAGCACACATCTATTTCATCAAAGCAAGTTGTGGGAAAGCAAATTGTGAATAATAAATTCGTACAGCGGACTACAAGTAATTTTTGTAATCTTTTACGGTGATTCTTTTTGGCTAACCATCCCAGAGGTGTGGGGGTTAGAGTGAGACGAAGATACGTGAAAATGGTTTAGAGACGAACTCCCTGAATCATCCGATGGTTCATGTCAAGAAATTGTTCCCGAATCATCCAAGTTCGTTCGTTGATCTCTCCTGAGAAGAGAAAGCAGTGGCGGACCTTCGCTTCTGCTGCCTCCCTTAACAAAATAATGGCATTGGTGCATGACATCAGTGTCTGCTATTGTTGCTTTAGAACAGAATTGCAATGTAGACGAGTACATTTGGTCATGAATTTATTACGTATTTTAAAGTTTCATCAATCCGCCACTTTCTCCGCTTGACTATTTGGCTGAATTCCGCACATTTCGTTGAGGATCCACCCTGAATGTTGTGTCATAATATCCAGACGAGGCGTGTTGAGATCCAACCAAACTATTTATCTGCTGGATGGATAACCCTTCTCTCAACTCCCACAACTAAAACACACGAGAAAACCACCACAACTCGTTCAACTCAACATTGAACTTACCAAGAGAATAGCAAGCACCGATGAGCAGTGAAGTTGGTGAGTATACACACGCTCTCTTCTTCGCTCTCCAGCAGGAGCACATGCATTGCATTGGCAAAATGCGAAATGTTCCCAGTTCACTTCCTGATATCCCACCAAACAGACGACTTGTTAGAGAACAGGGGACAGTGCATACATACACGCAGGATAGGATAATATTCATCCTCTAATAATTCGTTCATTCCTCCTCCTCCACTGCAGAGAACAGTGTTGTGACAAAATCGCATTTAAATAACCACTCATGTGCATCTGCACTTGAAGAAGGTGTGCTAATTTCTGCAAGTGCTTTTCATACACAACTCGTCCAGTTTGCACGGTGCATAATATTCTAATATATAAATACATACGTACCAACTAGATATTTAGTTCTGAGACTTTCCTGGAGCAAGGCACAGTTTTGAAAGCTGCGAAAAATTTCATGTACATACATCACGTTATAACGGTTCTTGGCTAAGCGAGATAACCAACGCTACTGACTGAGCAGGTAAATAAACTAGAGGTAAATGTCAACCCATGATTTTGCACATTAAAGAAAAAATATTCATTTGGAGATTTTCCATAAATGCGGGTGCATGCAAGAGATAGAGTACATATTCGTTAAGCGACATGCATAATACGAGAAGAGCAGCATGAGACGACGCAAGTAATAGTTCAGCAACACTTCGTTATCTTATTGAAAAGAATTTCACTTTCAGATGTACATACATATGTAACCCACGCTTACATGCATACGTATGTATGTACATACTGAGGGATTTGGCATGGCCAGACTGCTAGTAGACTATGTAGCGTAAATTTGAATATCGTATGCCCATGCATTTATCACCTTTACATATTTGCACCTGAAAAAAAACATGAACCGTTATAAGATGATGAACTATTAGCACAGTAAAGATTGACATTGAAACCGTGTTGTGTTTTTCTCAAGGATCATCACTCTGCCAGGCAACAACTCTTTTGTCCGGACAGGACCGAATCTCATTTAATCTTCCAACACATTAGTTCAGTAACACACGTCAAGAAAGGAGCAGCGTGTATCAGGAAAAAAATTATAAACATGAATAAAACAGTGATACTCCACTAAATCAAAAGCGGTGCTATATAAGAACGTCCCAAAGTAAAAGTTAAACCATTATTGGTGCAGTAATAATTCTGAGACAAGATCAAGCCATTCGTCCTTTAAGGTAACCTTGTTTTCAATTCGGAGAGTGGATTACCGTTGGCTATTGCGTCTCGTTTTTTCTCGTCTTGTTGATCGTTGCTGGAGAAGTTGGCAGTGATTGCCACACGAACTAATATATTACTCAGCCCTGTCTTATACGTAGATCCATAGGTGAATAAGTAGATCAACAGTCGTGCTTGAACTTGAGGTGCTCTTGAGTTCATCAACTCGAGCAGAATTACCGTGATACACGATACAGGACGACAACTGCGTGGTGAAAGTTGTCGAGCGAGGGAGGAAATTGACAACGACGAGTCATCGAATGAGGAAGACGAGGACGGGGGTTGCCCCATTCATGAGAACCAATGTCGTCTGACCCGAGCAGTCTGGAAAAACACGTGGTGGGCTAAAGTTAAGACGTACAAGCGCCCGATTCACTCAACTTTTTAAGTGACATTGAAAGTTCGACCGGAACTGTCTTGCTCTCCACAACTGCGCTATTCTTACACACAACATCCAATTCAAAATGGATTATTCAGACGTACTTGACCAGAAATATTATAAAAAACGGACCATTTTCATTACCAACTAGATCATTCGCTTAAACGTGCATTGTGTACACACACTCCCTCGCTAATGAAATATTTGACGAGTGAAACTGTTTGTTGGGTGATCGTTTTAACCAGTTTGATTTCATACCGGTGCGAGCATATTAGTTGGTGCTAGACAAACTATTGTACAAGAAGGGAGTTCAACTTTTAGTGATTTGTTAAACAAACCCGGTGATAAGTCAACTTAATATTAAAATATCCGTGATTAACTCAAAGAAAACAAAGTACAACAAAATTTTCTCCAACTCTGTGACATTTTATCAGAAGATAAAAACTAGAGTGTAACAGATTACGAAACTTGTGCATAGTTCGAACTTAATAATATCCGTGACTCGATTCAACTTGGAATTAGTTTGGAGTTTAGTTTTTTTGTTGGGTGTTTGATTGGCAACCAAATAACCACCACACATCGCATCATCGTCATCCCCAATTCATGCAACTCAACACTATTTCCTTCCTGATTTATTTAATGCAACATTAACTACGAGCCATCAGCTACAAATATTTCGTGCTGGACAGAAGAGGGAGCATTGAACTGGGATGAACTTGATACTTGATATTTGAATCTGGATGATAATTTTAGTGTTGTTATTACTTTCGCTGTGGTGATCGACTACATACGTACATTTCATATACTGACACGTTCTTATCGGAACCGGAAGGAGGGTCAAACACGAATAGCTCTTATTCATATATTCCAACCTTATAAAACGGGTGACTGGAATGATTGTCTGAAACCACGAGGATATATACAACGAATTGAAATGAACTTGTGTGTTTGCCAGACAAATATGTATGTTTGTAAGTGCAATTCGTGAACTATCTGTCAATAAATAATAACAGTGTACGCACGTCACACGTTCCTTCTGGATGGCTGCCAGTTGACTATCGTCCACTCTGATTACTATTATTACAAGGTAATTATTTGATTTGATGTAGTTTCTCCCACTACCGGCTTTCTGGACTTGTAGCATTTCTATCTGTATGAAGATCACACATACCCAAACTTGTAAAAGTGAATGGGTACATACGTTTAGTAAATTTATTCTTTAATACTTTATTCTGAAAGAACTTAACGTCATACCACATCAATTCACTGACTGACTCACGTGAAATGAAATGGGACGATTTGTTTGAACATTTATTTGTCAAATTTTGTGCTTGGCTGAATATACATAAACCTTCTGCTCGAACTAATAAGTTCGACACAGCCATTGATCCAGAGAGACAGAATGTCATCAAACTTTTTAACGGGACTTTTCCATCCCAATATACATACTGTGTTCCCGGATTAGTGCATTTGCATACATTGAATTGCTGATGGCATTCGCGAATTCCATGAGGACATTGGCTTCGAGGCTCAGTATAGAGAGCGATGCAGAAAAACTGCATAAAACAACGGGCTCCTATAGCACAATTAATACAACGAGTCCAGGTTTAGCAGTTCATGGGCAATGAAACGATACTCTGGATTCCTTGTTATTAGCAATAGTAACGTTGCCAATTCTTCCTCGCTGGCGTCTCTTTTAAATTGGTGGCAGAAAGGTTTGGCCCAGCGGCAAACACAATAAGATCTAATCTGTCGAGCCAATCCGATTTAAAGGTCAATCAACGTAAGTTCATCAATTCCTCTCCGCCGCAATAACAGCAGTACGAGTAATAATGTACAAAATTGCGACGGTATGAGTCAGAGATAAGACATGCATGCAGAACTCAGTGCCAACATAATGTCGTTGAACATGGAACAAATAGCAAATATCGTCTGGCATGGATTCGTCCTTAATAAATTTGCAACGAGATTGACAGATGTGTATACATACGTATGTGCATATAAATGTATGTATGCATGTATTCTCTGGCGTTTAAGTTTCCCCAAGTGTTCCGGGTTCAAGAGTCTTTTGTGTTGATGATATGGATAAAACGGATGATTTAATTTTACAAGATTTCTGCACAACCACATTTCGTGTTTGTCTGCTCAAGTACAAAATTAATTCAGAAGGCAAATTCCTAACCACGCAGCTAAACGATTCCCGAGAGACTTTTCCCGTAACGGACCCCTTAACAGAATTTGATTTGACCATTATTCCGCCATCGCATATATTTATATGGCAGATTAATTTTGCTGTCATATGCAGAGGAGGTAATAATTGAGCCAGTGTGCAGCATACTAAAAAAACTGAACTCAATCATGGAGCCACTATTGCCAAAAGAGCAGAATTCGTTGAGAGATTGCTTGTGAGCATGGTTTGTTCGTTGGTTGTGAAATTGGATCGATCTCAGCGAGAGGGCAACGCTCTTTGGCCATTGCAATGTCGTAAATCTGCATCTTTCCTCCGCATATATAACTCGTGTTATGTCATTTATCTGACAGTTATCCAGGCCATCCACCAAACCAACGATTCCTTCTGCTCACCTTCTCCCACTTATGTGCATGCTTATCATGGTGAGTGTACATCCGATTTCAGAGGAAATGTTTTAAGAGGAGGAGAAGAAACGGAGAGTGAAAGGATGTGGGAGATGAATGGGTCTGTTTTACAACGAGTACAGCTATATTTTACCACTTTTGTAGGCTATTCCGCGAGTAATAATAACACGCCACATAGTAGAACGTCTCAGATGCCATTGACCCCAGCCAAATACCACCACCACGCAAAAACACAAAGTATTTCGCTTTCTGCTCACGGATAACTCACACAACTCTTGTCAGCATGGGGCTGACAAGCCACTGCTTCCAACTCACATCCACCACTTCAAATTGTTCTCCCCTAATTGCACCTTCTTTGGAAACAATGATCATCACTTCCCAACTTTCACCAGCCCATCGAGACTCGAGGTTATCGAGAAGTTTGCCTATAGAAGATTGGACTAGTGTAACTCTCCACATATGTAATGATGCAGTTTTTACTGTACAGATTCGATGGCCAAAACGCATAGAGATGGTGTATGCCATAGGAAATAAGAGATCACGAGCCAGACGGCAGAGAGCGAGCATGACTTGACGACTTCAATTTTCACCTTTGGAATGTTACAGCTTTTTTATCACTCGGTTGACGTTAGCATCAACTATAAAACTATTACGCACAAAAATTTCGTTACTCGTGAAAAGCGTGCCAGGCATCCACATATAACTCTTTTTCAACGTTTCTGGAGACTAAAAAAACAAGACTTTCAATTCACACATGTAATTTTTGGATCTGAAAAAATAATTGGAAATATTTTGACCCCATACAAATAACCAACATGCTCCATCACGCTACCATCACCACAACATTCATCGGCAAACTTATCGATTGATGTGGCGTTTCTCCAAAGTTCAATGAATCCTATCAACGCACTTTCGTATTGAGCGTGCTCAACAGTTAGGTTATGGCCAAACAAAATTGCCATTACTATAAAATCTTTCACATTCGTTTGCGGTTTCGATTACAATAATTTAACTGCTGAATCAATAAAACGGGTAACGTACAAACAAACACGCACTTTTTTGTGCAGTACGTATAGCATTTTATGTTCTGCCTGCCTGGCGACATTGCTCAGTAGTAAACACTGTACTCTATAGTGGCATATTCATTACCAGTCATTGTGCTCATATGTATGGCGTATAATATGTCAACCAATATGTATTAGTGCTACTTTTTATGTACATGCTCATTTAATAACCACCAGTCAAAACCACATCCAGAATGTTCAAATGACTGAACTCGTCGTATTTCCATTCCAACATGTGTACATTTTAGCTGGATAAGTCTGTCATGCCTGTGCATTTAATAAATACTTTATTACAATATGTTTTGCTCATCATCGCAGCACAATATTTTTTAACGGGTGAATATAAACTGAGCAAAATAAACCGCAGTTGGTGGCCATTGACTCTTGGGCCATTATCAGTTAAAAATAATATTCATATCATGTTACCTTACACGAATAAATTTTAAGGTTTAGGAGCTATTCTTAGATTTGCAACGGATTTATATATTTATCAGACAGAGATTTGCACTGAGCCAATTGTTTATCAAATAAAGTCTTCGTGCTAATGTGCTCCTTGTTTAATTTTTAACCCGAGCCAAGGCTTATGGAATCGGCATGTCCGTTCGTTTGTCTGTATTGCGATAACTCGAGTAAAACTGGTCCGATCGACTTGAAACCTGGTGCAATATCAAGTTCGAAGTTGCGCAAAATCGATATAAAATGGGCTTAAGATTCTGATGATATTCGAGGCATTTATTCGAGCTGTTCTTATTTTTTGCGAACTAAACTGAAAAATGAAAATACAATGTCATAGTTGTAAGGACCCAGTAGGATAATCCGCACCGATTTTCTAAAATGCGTCTTTTTTAAGAGACAGAAATTTAGAACAAAGATTTAAGAAAAGAATCAGATTTACGAATGTGAATGCCTGGCTCGGGCATGTGAAGGCTGCACTGGAGGATTTTGTTCGCTTTAATCGACTTGTTTACTGCAGCAACCAATACTTGTTTTAAAGTTCTTGACTTTTGACAAAGATGCGACGTCTCAATAGCCGAGACACGCTTCAATATTTCACAACAAAATGTGTATGTGCTTCTCGCTTCACAAAAAATAGATACGGACATGACACGCAATAATCCAGCCAGTCAAACTCACTTACTTAAAAATGTAAGTACGCGAGTACATAGTATTTAGCGCTTCAATATGCAAGCATCATACGTTTGACAGTGCATACATATTTTTCAATTGAACAAAGTCAGTGCCAAGTTCAAACTCACTCCAGCATCAATTTTTCAATAAGACGAGCACGTGAGTGATGTAAATATATTTGTCTAATGTGCTCATGAAGATTTTGAGCCAGGGTTACATTTGGATCAAGATTACGAATATCTGGTCATTAACGTTACATTAGATGAATGTCATTTACTTGCGCGTGTCAACATTCACCAAGAAAATCTGTGTCCCTGTCTGTACATATTTACATCCTTCCCATGCTTCCGACTTTATGTTCATCCACATAACGACACTTTTAATCCGGTGGGCTGAGGTTAGGACGACATTATGGAACCACAAACAAGATAAATTGCGATGAACGGATAAAGTTCATAATATAATAAATATTTGATTTGCACTTTTACATATTAAACAATTGAAAATAATCAAAAATCAATTGAGAATAATTTATAGTCATAATATTTACAAGAGGCAAAAAATAAGTTTGTCGTACATATTCCATCCTGACGTATGTCCTCTACCCCATTACATACAAGTTCAGCTAATGTCAAGGTTGAGATATTTCAGCCAATTTAAGGTGGACCGAATATATTAGTGTCCACCTTACTCGCGTTAATCTTATCAACTCTGTTAATAAAAAGCTAGTATTGAATCGCATGACTGTGTGTTTCCCTTCAGAAACTTATATATTTTGCTATATTTAGTTTCGTCATTCAAGCAGTAAAATATTGGTTAGGTTAGCTGCTTAACGCGTTGTAGAATTGATTTTTTCCCATTTGCGACAGTACCCAAATGAATTTCTGTATTGTGTGTATGCATGCATAACATCTGCGTATTACATATTAGCCACCGTGTTTGCGTAGTATTTTGAGTAGTTTATACATAGTTGATGTTGGTGGGGTTTGATTTAGTGAAATTAGACGCCGTATATACTGCTGGGATGTCATCATGGTGAATCTCTTCGTAGCACATTTCATATTACTTGCACGATGCGATAGGCCATTCACCTCGCCTTTCTTTACGACTCCCCCGCAGGATGATGGCTTGTCATATTTCACTTCCAAATTTAACTACAAGAAACTCTTCCCAACACCTACGTCTGGTTTTATCACGAGCAGATTCTCATCCTTGACATATAATTATGTTGCAGATAGTTTTCAAAATGATGAATTAAATCCTCTCCTTATCGTGGACACACAAATCAAAGTGGGTGATTGGTGTTGATGATAAGTGAGCCCAGCACTTTGCCACACGCAGCCTTTACGCGAAATCTAATTGATGCTGTGAACATGTGCAGCAGGCAGGATAAACAAAGTGTAGTAATAACCACCACCCATGAATTCCTCATTTCCCACGTTTCTTGATACGAGGGCGAGCAGTATACGCGTCCTCGCCGCACTGGGAAAACACTGCATGAATGCTTTCACTCGCACTTTCACCACCATTTTTACCACGTCATGCCGAGCGTGGAGTATACGTACGTATACCGCAAAATATATGTTTTGGACACTGTAGAATTTAAGATGATTGATGGTAAATCATATGACTGACTTCCACTTTCGAAGAAATGGAACTTAAATTTGTAATGGAGTCTTATTTCTCAATGGATGTGGGGCAAAGTAGTTGAGAATTGCGTCGTTTGTTAGACGTCGTTGAATAAATAGGTAAATATTTTAGTAATCTAAATAATTGTATGGACGTTTCCTTGTCTACAGCGAGTAAGCAGGCAAAGAAAGCATAAATGGTGAAGTCAATTAATGATTAAGACGATGTTTACCGACGAAGGAACTAGTTCATTTTGCGAAATAATTGTACTAGAAAATTGTGTTTTGTTTCCAAAACTAACTGGAGTCTTGATAGGTCATTGAAACAACGAATACCTCACCGTGAAATTTATAAAGCAAATTTGTTTCGTTTATGTATGAAGTAAATCTAAATAATTAAGTTAGATATTAAATTATATTACATGACATGACTAATGCCCTACTTTTCTTGTTGGCTAAACCGAGTTTTTCAAGGAGCACGTCGAGTATGATTCATGTTCCAACCTGGTTACAGCTATTTTAAAAAACTGATAACGACTGCCAGCAGGTTTCGATTTCATAAGTATAATTACCAGTTTTGTGGTCGAAAAACGTGTTAAATTTCAATTATAGATTGGTAATAATTTATTAATAATAAACATTCTGTTACACAAGCATATTAATTAATAGCGCATAATTCTAACACCGATGAGTCAGCGGTTGAATATTAGTGGCGACTTTCGGAAAAAAATTATAAATAATTCACCATTTATTTTACTATTTGTTCATCTGTTTACCCAAACTCCGGTTTGAATTGGTGTAGCACAAACAATGTCAGAGCAATGATATCACGTACATGTGGGTTATCTATCGATTAATGTATCAGGTCTCTGAAAAGATAACTCACTGACTGACTGAAAGGGCGAGTTCGTGTATGCGTACAAGTTATTACAATTTTATTGATTCCTTCGAATGATTTTGATAACGAGAGGAAAATGGGGACAGCAAGTCATGGGAGTTCATGTTCAGATTGGGTCATATTCCAAGTCTGCAAAATACCTCCTCCTCTTCTCCATCGTCGTCGTACGCAGCATGAAAGACAACGCGTCGTCCGTCCCCCGAATGCCTCTCTCATTCATCATTAAACATATATATCCGCCGTCTCCTCATCAAGGTACTCATGTATATTTGCCAAGCAGTAAAGTCAGCTAAGGCATGCATGGAGCTGGGTCCGACACGCTTTGCATAAGCAAAATGTCTCGTAAATTTGATGTATTCGGGGATCGTAATTGTGTGTGAGGTGTGTGCCTGACGTATCTCGGAGTGACCTCATTATTGACGATCCGCTGAAAAGCAATAATTCATCCTTCATCAACCCTTCGTGATGATGATGAGATCTGTCGGCTACTCACTTTCTCGGCTCTCCTTCATTTGACTGCAGATCCAGTTCAGTACTTTTGCAAATTAGAAGAATCGGGGTCACTAGAAACATTACAAATTAATTTTACGATCAGGTTTAGTCGGTAAAATATCGTTTTATGTCCCTAACGCGGAACAGAGATAAAAAAGGCTACCTCTCTCCAAATGACAGCAATGATTGAGTTTATTGTTTGGTCTTTTTTTAAAGAAAATTGGGTTAAAACCGAGTTTTGGGTATCTCTCTTTGTTTGCAGATGCAAGAAAAGTAAATGATTTGCGGCTGGTGCATGGTGTTTGTCAGGAAATAAAGGGACGGATAGAATTCCGACTTTTTGAAGTGGATTGAGAGAATAAATATAATAATATCCCTCAACTTTGCGCCACTGACCTACCTTTTATGTAAGAAATAAAGGGTTAGCTCATGGGTGCCTTATTCTTGGAGTTCAAAAGCATTTATTGCCCTTGTTCTCCCGTTTCAGGCGAAGAAGGGCCTTTGCTCTCTCAACCCACTCAATTTATTTATTTATTTATTGCCCAATCTTGATCTTGTGGTCTGCGAGTCCCGTTGAAGAAGTTGACAATGAAATCCGACAACGTTTCGTGCGAAGGAGGCAGCTTCCTGGAGTACTTGGAAGTCCTCGGTGGTCTTAAATACATTTTCTTAAAATCTGGGTCACAGCAGCCACGAAGCCACGAATAGATTGGACAGTCTCCGTGGGGTGCATTCTGTGCATGTATACTTTCGTCTACTTGTTAGATCAGTCATCAGTTTACATAAACACGTAAACGATGATCCCCGTTAGATTTGTGTATGTTCTTCTTATAAATGAGACTCACGCTTGATGGCTTATTGATGGTGGAGAATTTGCCCCACTTTGCTTATTGTCAGTCAGTCCCATAATGAAATGGACTTAAATTCATAACCTAGAAATGAAGGGCTTGAGGTTAGATAACCAAACACGGATTCTAAATGGTTCTAGGTCGACGCATTTCCAACTGTTTCTGGAACGGTAACTTTAAACTTTGAATGTTCCATTTCCAAATTTATTGGAACTTGTGAAGGGCCACCTTCTCACGAGTGAGCAATGTCATCACGATCAAGTTTTCCATGCAGGATGAAATGGTAGTACTTAAATTTAGTGTGCAAAGTGAAATCAACATTGACCATGTAAATCTTGCTGGTTGAACGATGTGTCATGCGATAAGGTTGATGTTCTCCTTTGTTCATTACACGTTTTCTTGAGCGAGGTCTCTCTTGAGGGACTATATTAACATTTAGGATCCAATTTCCAAAATTCCGTGCGTAGGCGTGAACGATGAGATTCGCGTCACGTTCATATTTTCTAAGAATACTTTGCCTATAGAATTGAATATGTATTAATGACGCAATATTATTATTAGACTGCAAATGACACTTTAAACTAATTGCATATGTATATTTGACTCCAGTTTTTAATCATTTACTTTTTAATTTCAGATCAGAAAGAAGACCGATCGAAGATTGCCAATAAATTTTAACGGAAAGGTAACTACAAATTGACTATTTTATTACCACTGCAATTCAGCACTTCCATCCAGAACATGCATGCATAATTAGAACTACTCCTAATAAGTGACCTATCATAACTTCTGCAACCAGCACAATGGACAATGGTGGAATATAAAGTCATCGAGATTAAACTAATGAGTGGGTAAAAAATATCTAAAAATTGGGGCAAAATTAGGTACATTTTGTTTGACTTGGTTATCATTCTTTCCCTGACTAAGCAGTATGAGCATGGATTGATCCATTGCTAAATCATTCTAAATAATATGACCAAGGTAATCTAGTCGGTAGGTATCTAGCAGATACTCGGGTACTCATTGGAATTTGTGCATTGGTAAATTCTTTACTTTAGGAAAACATAAACATGTAATAATGATCGAGTGGTTGCTCATTTGCCGGATTGCATTCGCATTGTACTTGATATGGAGTAAATATTACACGAGTGTCCCAGAATGGAGGGGGAAACCAACGACGTGGAACTTATCAGTGTCGCCACGATGAAAGAGTTTGTGGATAAGTAAGTTGAGCCAAGTTTGGATGGATGGAGTTGGTTGGTCGGCGAAATGGAAATGACCCAGTTTCGGAGGGAAGGACAACGACCTTAACTTACACAACTGGATTATGCACACTCACTCACTCGCTACTGGGCAGAAAGGATTGAGATATGTGTGCATGTACATTACACGACTACAGCCCACCATACCTACGTACGTAGCTATGTACATATGCATAACCACCAAACTGGATAAACTCAACGACCATAAAACACTCCCAGCCAGGCCTTATTATTTTTGGCAATTTTACGACGGCAATATAATAACGCAAGTTCTGCCGACCAGGGTGGTTTGCAACCCGTCGTGATATAATCGCAATTGGAAGTCGAGCAAAAATTAGGATTCCTGTAATTTCATTCACTCGTTAGCAATCTTTCGGATCTACCGTGGAAGTGGATAAATCTGTGTTTACGACGCTTTATCGGGCGATGCGGGTGGGTGTTGGAGCAAAATCCGATGAAAATAACAGCACACTGTAACAGAACTGGTGGATAAAAGAAAGCATTTTATGACCCACAGGCACGTGTAGAAAGTAAACAATGATTTATCATCGCCAAGTTGACTTACACCCATGCAAACCAATTCATCATCATCACCTACACTACCGCTATAATAATTTGCCACCTCAACTAACTAACTGCCCTAGTTCCAATAGTTAAACTGAGATGGAGTTGCGTGTGGTGACGCCAAGCATCTTTTTTTCAGAATTGTATTTTATCCATATTTTACCCAATCGTCTCCCGAAATAGTGCTGAATCCGTATAAAACAGATTTATTTTTTAACATATTTTGTTAAAGCTGTATTATCTAGAATTCCTGACATCAAATAAAAATGATGGAGCTGCGAGGAGTTTCAATGCCTTTTGAGACACAGCGATGAGTTGTTCTCTTCAAGGAAGCATCTCCTTTGAAAAGTTGTTGTTTGTAATAAATGATTTACGAAATGGGTTGAAATGATGAGAATCTGGAGGAAGGAAGAAATGGTGATGACGTGATCGCCGACCTACTTTGTCTGATCCGTCTGCCAACATTCCGCCTGCATTTTACAAGAAAGCACGGCTCCTTTTCCCGAGTGCAGTTTTGGATCTCTTTGATACACGATGGTGCGTCGTCGTCGTCTGCCAACGGGATATAAGACGTATCTGCTCTGTAAATACATACGCTCATATGTGTGTAATGTACACATAGCGTATCTCCTCAATTCTAACTGTTTGCATTTCTGTGAATACTTATAACGCAATGCGTCGTCTGCTCGAGTGTACTCGACTCAAAATGCTGACAATGTAAATTTAAAAGTGAAGGTAGATTTAAATGTGAGGCTCATTACGACATATTTTGCTTTATTGAGATGAGACTCGTTACTTCACGATTTAAACTGCCCATTCACGAAGCATTTATCCTTTATTTTTTTAAGTCGAGTCATTTTGCTTGATACCATTTACAAATTCATAGGAGTGGTTTTATCCCATTTAAAACTCGCCTCGTAAACAAATTCAACTTTTTTACATAGTGAATCGTGATAATCCGTATTCCACTCAATGGATTACTCTTGTAGTGGGTGACGAGGAGTTTAGTGTTTATTTTTGGAACAAATGCAGATAAAAAATTGCAAGGAATGGACTGCATGTCTAATTCTTGGTAGCAGTGTATGTTGCAGAAATGGTATTCAAATGAGTTATTTAATCCCCCCTTCGATGAAAGGCAACAGCTTACTTAATCTTTCGTGAGAAATGCACAAATGTAAAAAAAACATGCATTTTATAGATTCACATTTGCAATTTTTGAGCTGCATTTAATTGCATTGCATGTATAACGGTACACAACATCCCACTACCAAACTCTTATTTGAAGAAATGTGTAAAATCAAATGCATGTATACATATTTACATACATGTATTTAGACATGTAGACCTTCTTCTGTAGTCTGTTGAGATGAGGATTAGCTCCTTTTTTACCTGTGTTGTTCTACAAGGCTGTTACAGAACTGCTTGCAAAGCCGAGTTCAAGAAACTAAAACAATGGAACTGATTTCACCTCCACTCTCCATCTCAATTGCAAATCAATATGAGCAACTCTCAGGAGGGGAGCTTGCGAGGTTGATAATAACAGATCCTGATGCCCTTTGCATATGTGGTAGGGTCCCATGAGTGTACTAAAACCCTGAAGTGGTTTGACTCCATGGCCACATTTGCGCCCGCCACACCCACTCAAAAATGCCCAAAAAACGCTTTCACTCCAGGTTTCACTCATTCAAATCCACGCCAAAAATCCAATTTTGCTCGGATTTTGAAATTTCTTTCACCATTACACTCCCAGATAGTTGCTTTCTTCAATCCAATGTCAAACTCAATTTTGATGATGATTATTTCACAGGCATAATTTGCGTTGTGGATTACTACAACAATGCTCATTCAGAATTTTAAATTTTAAAAATACTAATAATTTCGAAAATATTGAGTTTGATATCGAATTGAAGAAAGCAACTATCTGGGAGTGTAATGGTGAAAGAAATTTCAAAATCCGAGCAAAATTGGATTTTTGGCGTGGATTTGAGTGAGTGAAAACCGGAGTGAAAGCGGTTTTTGAGCATTTTTGAGTGGGTGTGGCGGGCGCAAATGTGGCCATGGAGTTAAACCACTTCAGGGTTTTAGTACACTCATAGGACCCTACCACATATCCAAAGGGCATCAGGATCTGTTATTATCAACCTCGCAAGCTCCCCTCCTCAGAGCACACAGAAGAAGTGGGCACCTAATTGATCTCGTAATGCGTTACCTCACTTCTTACATCTCAATCTTTGATTGATCCTTCATGACGCTTCTTTTTAATTTTGCAATGTTGTTCATGGACAATGCGTCGCTTTTAGTTTTCCAATAATTGCTACGCGTCCTGTAATGTATAATGAATGGTAGACTTGTAACCGGATTTAACAGAATTTGAGTTTCAAGTGTTTGTTAATTATTACAGTGTGTAAAATATTTCACTCTAAAAATAGCATCATCAATGTAACCTGTTTTAAAAGATAAGCAGGAGAGGTATGAAATCCGCCTTGCCAATACTTGCGCACATGAGGCATGCCGAGTTAAGTTGGGGAATATGCAAATGTAGGGCACGTCCTTGGCTATTGCAGCGATTGCAACAGATTTCCCTCGAGTTCATCGACTGAGTGAGGTTGTCCTCATAAAGCTAACAGTCAGCACGACGGACTTTTCCTACGTACTTAAAAACACTTGAGCAGCTAAACTTCCAAGCCTTATTCGCACACTGCGTCGCATCACTTGGAAAACACTCGCCAGTTCAATCAGCCAATAACGATGTTTCTTAAACCAACAGCAAATACATATTTAGATGAGTTTAGCCATTTCATCTCAGCTCATATAGATATGAGATATTACATATTATTGTGCAGTAGAAGTATTGAAAGTTTGGATGTGCTGTGCATAGATTGGATTGGATGGCAGAGAGTGTAGAATCCTCAATTGACAAATACACCACACAACAGATATGATCAAGTCAGTAAATAGTAAACAGCGGAATTATAAATCCAGGTCCTTGAGCTGCTCTATCATGCATTGAGCTGAATGATAAATGTTGTTGAACATTTGCACATATCACAATTTGGTTTTGCATAGGTTATGTATTTTTAAACCGACTGCTACATAATGCTGATTTTCATATGCATACATACGTATTGTGTTATGTATGGCTCGATTCATGTTCCACATAATCTTGAACCAAATTAAAAGTTCAAAGCACTTTTTGTCGGTCAAAGTTATTTCTCCGTGCTGCTGGAAAGCTGGATAAAGCTGGATGCATGTAGAGAGAGTGGGGGACGCTACAGTAGATGCAACCAACGTCGTATTTCGAGTCACAAATATGCAAACATTGGAATTTTAAATTTAAATTAAATTGAGCATTGATTAGCGTACTTGGAAGAGAGTAAAAAACAATATTCTTCCGAAATTGACTTGAGGTTGGCTGTTGTGACGAATAAAATACAACGAACAACTGACCTACATCGCTTATCGCATATTTGCGGTATGTCCATGGACATTGGACATTTGACCATAACAAAAGTGGAGCCGGTTCCCTGCATGTTCGAAGGAAAGTGAGAGTGTGGTGGTGGTGGCACAGAATTTACACTCGCATCAATCCCCTGTGAATTCGTATCAATCGAAGCTAGGTCGCCTGGTCGTTGGCCCTTTTACCTCTGGCCTTGTCATGTCAATCGATTCTCTCACTCTCTCTCTGCACGGATGTCATACATGCGTTTGCAATATACCAGTCGTCGTAAGATTTTGCAAATGACGCAAAACTTGAGTAGGAGATGGTGGAAGTGCGGTTGTGATTAGGTTAGCTACTTTCGGCAGCTTAGTTCGCTGGCTGGTTGACGAATGGCAGTCGGGATATACGGAATTGGGGTCAAATATAGAGAAGAATTATGTGCAAACCGTTTTACTATAAAGACATTGCTTGAGCTACCTTATCTTCTGCTTATGTAATCAATGGGTTGAAGGCAGTGGGAAAAATGTATACATAATCTGCTCTCGTTTCCTGGTGCAATTTTGTTATTTTTATTCCTGACACAATACAACAACTAGTTGTTTTTTTTCACTTTTGGCCAGAGCAATAAGTTGGACTTGGCTGATATTCCATCTGAGATGTTGGATATGGTTTTCGAAATGAGGCCTCTACCTAAACCTGGAGTGAATCTAGGACAGTTGGGCGCAAATCAAAAAGTGCAAAGACCGACCATGAAATATTTTTTCTTGGACCCACAATCTTCTATTTCCTCTCGGATTTGTTAACCTAAAAATAGGTGGACGACCAACATTCCAGTCGTCGTCGTCGTCCAGTAGTCTGACTTCAGCAAGTATGTACTCTTGTGAGATTTGGAAGACTAGACTTGTACGAAATAATAAAAAATCGAGATATATGTATTAATATATTAATGCGGTTGAGTAGTATTTAGCGTAATACATCGTCTTGAGACTGCATAAGCATGTACGCGTCGTGGTAGTTTGGGGTTTAATTATGAAACCTGCTGGTGGTGCGGAATGGGGACACTGAACATTGAACATGAAATTCGAACGTCGCCCCATGCATGCCAAGCCGTACGATTACGTAAATTATTTTCACTCTCACTCTCTGCATTTCTGTATGCGAGCAAGAAGGAAGATCAAGACGACGGCAATTGATAAATCGATGGAAGGGGTGGACCCGTCGAGCTGCTGGCTCAACGTGGTGTGTAGTTCGCAGCATTCACATTCAAACCCACAATAAAGGTCATTGCATCCAGTGCCAAAAGTGGGTCACCGCCAAAACTGCTGCTCTTTCCTCCTACGACTATTTGTGTGTATGCTCTGCCAAATGCGAGCTGCACGGAGTGGAAGCGTTGCGTTGTTAAATAGCGACGACCTATGGTGGCGACTGGCTTAAAGTTGGAAAGAAAGGGTTGGGTGGGATTCCTTCCTGCCACACTGCATGCATAGGATGATATACATACGACGTGTATGTAAGTAGTATGTAGGTTGCACTTTCCGTCTGTTTGAGCTTAACCCTTGCTGATGATGATAAAACAGCCATATTACATGAATAACGAAGTATTTGCCTCCCGTGCTTATGAACAAGGATGATACAATAGGCTTGATCTCCAACTAACTGTCACTATAAATACATACGTATAGCCCTTTGTTAATATTGATAAAAGAGATATTTATGGTACTGCTGGCTGGCGTTTAACCTCCTTTTTGCAGAAGCCATCATAGATTTTTGCTCCCAAAGGAGGATTCTTGGTACAAAAAGAGAATGTTTCTGCAATCGTCGGGAGGGTTTCGCCAAGAGATACGTACTTATTGGATTGCTTGGCGTAATGTCGATTGCGTGACGTCAGTGGAGCCATCAGTACAAGTTTGAATGTCGAAACTGTTCTGAGAAGCAGGTTCTAAATCACAAGGTAGAATTATTTAGAGGAGGAATGAAAGGGAAAGCATCGCATTAAAATCGCGTTAAAAACATGGAGTTTATTGGCCCAAGTGGTTTTATGAGGGATCGATGTGGGAGTCAATGCCTCACCCAGATTTTACTATGCAGCTCCACCCTCACTCCATGCAAATCAGTTCAATCATCTGGCATTTAAACGCCGCGTGGAGGAGATCGTGTCGTTGGATGGAAATACAAGTTCCAATTCTGCTGATTCTGCTCACATTTTTAAACCCTCGGGTCCAAATAAACAATGCAACATTCAAGAGTTGGTAATATTTGCTTAGTTATTCGTATCACTTACTTTGAGAAACTAATGTCACGATTACTTCTTGATGCATTAATCACTGCTTAGCAAACAAGAGCAAAAGAGCGTTGATGAAGGGCACAAAGTGTCGATGCCTCTTGTGGCGAATAATAATGTCGAGGTCTTGTTCATCATCACTGATCAGAGAAGTGATGAGACACGCATTCTGGTTGTCGCTAAATAGATATGCGAACCATAAATGCATTGTTGGATAGCGATGAGACTAGAAACGACCTTATTTATCCCTGATGTCAATTTAGTCCAAGTCTTGCTACAGCCATACTCACACATATTTATTTACTCCTGCCATCCTCCCAATTCGTGGTGTACATAAATACATAAGCATGTCTGCTCTAATGTCCAATTTAGAAGTTGTATTGGAGGAAAGATCTGGCTGATGTTCCATGATTACAGTACAATCAGTACAATTATTATTAAACACAAAAAATTATGCATGTATCTTAACCTAACCCTAACTAACATGACATAACTTGCGTATCATATCACACGAGTGTGCATGTTCGAACAAATTCAGTAAAAATGCACCCACACAATTATTGATTACTTGCATTTTTTGCTGGTACACCCCCAAAAACTGCAGTAGTGTACTGATATTTATTTGTTTGTAAATGCAGAATTGGCTATAACCAATTTTTTGCTGATAACGGAATAATCAAGGAGACGGTCTACATTGAAATAATTGATTTTTGGTGCACTCATCAGAGTATTTTTATCACATTTGGTTCAAGCATATCAATGAATCAATTTTGTAATCGTTATGCACGTTGATATGTATTCATTCTTTCCGAGTTCAAAGCGTGCCTGAATAATGGAGCTTTTATTGGACATTTTATGACATTTGAGTAATCAAGTTGAAATGGAGATTATTCAAAATGTATGTCAAAAGTCAACGACATTTATCCAGATTAACCAAAACCAATGCCAACAGACAGGGTTCATACGTCAGCTCCAAATTCTTGGCTCCACACAAGTTTTTAACCTCAAGAATTATGAATGCCAACAAATATGCTTATAGAAATTAGAGAAATATTTGTACATGCTCACGGCTCGCCTCGTCCGGATTTCAATGCTGATTGGAACTAAAAAAAGAGCAAATGCAATTTTTATTATCCATCAGTCCCCGTAATTTTTATTGCACACATTACAAAAAGTTAAACCTGACCTTTTAAGTACAATTTTTGTACATCCCTCTTTTCCTCATGTCACAAAGTAGCATATATCAAATCCTGTACAGTAAAAACTCAATTATCATCAACATTCTTTTCAATTTCCGTTAGTTTTTTGGAAGCTCTTTTTCCTTGTAAAATTCCCGTTAATGCTGTTAAAAAACGCATTACATGCATAATTTGAGGCTTTGCTAGAAAAGACCCTTCGCTCCTCGCAACGATTCATAAAAACTCCTTGATCTTGAATCTGCTAAGATTGTAAATAACAACAACAATGTTTTCAAGTTTTTTAAGGGTACAGTTTACTATCGTGAAATGAGGGTGAGAAGAGGATTTTTTGGAAACGGGATTTTTATGACGATGACTTCATCAAGGGCAGGCCTGATCCGGCGGTGATGCACATAATGCAGTCCAGACTGAATACTAATAAGAACGCTCTCAGCTTTATGTCTACATTTCAAACGCTTTTCTACATGTTCGCTTAAAGTGCGTACTTTATTTACTCTCAAATTTTGATAGCAGTTGAAGAAATCATGTGTGTGGCGTCTGGATCGCAGTCGATATAAAAATTGTGGAATTCAATCCAGCGTCTCCTTTCCAAGTCAGACGCAGAGTCAGTTTCTTTTCGCAACGCCACAATAACGGTATCATTCCTGCATGGCTGTGGATATGATGGTGACTTTGGCGCAGTTGATTGTGGCAGCAGCAGAGTTTTCGTTTAAAGGTCGGCGACCCTGTGAAGGGGAATCCGGGCATCATATTGCACCATCGTCGAGATTCATCGAGTGGCAACGCCACTTGTGCGAGAGAACAGAGTGGTTGTATTTTATGGAATCCCTTTTATTGGTCGGTGCCCTTCTTATCCCTTCACCGGCACGAATGGTTTAAACTTGGCAAAGTACGGCTCCTGATTTACGTCCCATGTATTACACAACATAAGAATGGGAGCTATAGGTATGCATTGAGAGCTGAAATCATCATCATAGGAAAGGAAATGCTTTCTCTGCTCCTACAAATTTTATTTTTATTGCTCATTTACAACACTGCAAAGACATGAGCAACAACACAATGGTGTCGGTCGGGCCATTTATCGTAATTCAGCCAATAAATAAATAATGATTCCCGAAGCGAGGAGAGGATTGAGAGCTCCTTGATTTACTTATTCAGAATAAAGGTCGAAATAAGTGTCACTCGATAGTAAAATGGCTATTTCAAACATGTTTTTCACTCTCTGGGCTGTAGAATGGCATCCACAGAATGGAGAGATTAATGGTCCTATGATTCAGACCTAATCCAACACCCTTCTTGCATGCTGACAAACAACCTGTCCAAGAAATGTCGCAGTCTAATGGGATTTGCGTTTTTGTTGCAGAACTCAAACATTTTCGGGAAACAACGCCAAGTGAAAATCGATTTTCAGTTTTGGCAGTGGAGACTCATTCTTGGAGCGTGAGTAAAGTTCAAGGGACTTGAAATTGCTCGTGTCTGGATCCTTGGGGGCACACATTCTCAAGTCGTCTGACTTGCAAAAGTCCTCCACTCTCGACTATACCACCACTACTACTTCCGCCCCATTAAGACAGCATCAACTCTTCCGCAGATGACGCCATTCCCTGGAAAAACTTTCTACTTCTCTTCTCTCAGAAGGAGTGCGCTTGAGGAGTGAGTACTAATTGGAAGGATGTTCATGGGATCTCAAACACGATTTGCTACAGAATGAAGGGTAAGAGGAATTTAAACTATTAATTGCACCAGTAAACTTGTAGGAGCTCTATGTTATCAATTTATTTACTATGAAATGATGATCATCATCATCCCAGTGGATTCTGGCTGGCAGTGGTTGTGGAATATGCGTACAATATATTCACTCATGCATAAATATGACGATGTTCTTGTGTTCTTAAAATAAAGCGCAAGAAGGAAGTGAAACATTGTAAAAGTCGTAAAACAAACATTGGGCAGGACGAGAGGGAAGGTTCGTGTGGGAGTTCACAAGTACGATCTCATACACATAAGTACTTGGCTGTCTGTGTGGTTTACCTGAACGTGAGTAAACCCGGAAACGGTGAAAGTTGTGTCTGACAACGCCGAGTCCCAAAAATTTAGATCACTCCCAGGCGATGACCCTGGATTCGCCCGTTTGAGACAGGTGACGCGTATTGTTGACAGTAGGAAGCTGCTATACAACCGAGCATGACATGGCATCAATACTACACGTAATTAAGGTAGACATACCTGCAACGATTTTGTGTAATAAAATAGAGAAGCGTAAACATGCAACATATTCAAATGCGACCTTAATTAATTATTATTTGTTACATATATAAATATGTATGTATCGTTTTACACTCGGATTTGAAAATGGGCAGGGTCAGAGTGCACCTTAAAACTTTATTTTTCGGGAGTGAAAGGAAATGAAGATCATTGAGCTCGTGTGAATGTGTGTGTAGTTGAAAGTGCATGTGAACCATGGTGAAAGTGGGCATCATCGGACGGGACAGGGCACGTCTGCTTTCTGGCAAGTACGAAAATACGAATGGAGTTGGTGGTGGTGGATGGTGTGTGCCTAATGCGGAACTCGTAAGCACTTTTACTTTCTCCTGCTCAGTATTTCGTAACGGGAGGGAATGCGAACTGCTACCCGACCCGGGTTGTGCTGTTGGTATTAGACTTTGGGGTCGTTAGCCGGCCTAGGAGTTGCTGCCCTAGCCCAACTCAACTCAGCAGCCGCAGCTTCTTCCCACTACCCGGGTATACCAAACCACTATAAATAAAACCCGGGAGTTTGGGTATACCAACCAGTCTCTATTTTCTACCCGGGTTTCTTCACGTGGATGCAACCAAGTTGGAGGTCATTCCTCCCAAACACCGCGTTTCCATGTATTGATTCATACTTCATCCGGAAGAAGAGCCTTTAATAGTTCGGCTATTGCACTCTCTGCTCTCATACGTACGTTATGAACATGCAATGTTCCCAAGAGTGACGGGAACTTATTTTCTCCGTCTCTTGTCCGTTTAATGCTCTGTTGTAGAGACCCGTCCTCAGCCAACTGTTATGCAATCTACTCAGAAAAATTGCGTGGGAGATGCTTTTACCCTGCTTTGAATATGCTCTCACCATTGTGAAGCATCATTTTAAAGCATGAATTCTTTGTTATCATGTGTGTCGACGAATGTTAACCAGTCGGGGCAAAGAATGGGTGGTGGTGGTCGTGGTGTGGTTGAACTTTCCTTGGTGGGCATTATTGTTTCTTTCTGTGGAAATGTCAGCTTGGGAAGTGGGCTTAGGGCGGTCGTGGAGTACGTGTCGGATGGAGAAAGGTTCTGTGACCCCGGCCAACATGGACTCCCAAGAATTCAATGAGATGAACTTTCTCTCTCGTCAACAAGTTCGCAGGGCAGGCGGAGTGGTTGCAGTGAGCACGACATAATACGCAGCGAGTCCTTCTCTATCCAACACACTGATCTCGACTTTCTCTGTTGTTGTATTGTAATTCCAGACGCGAGGATCCCAACGTATTACAGATATGCTAATGTGAAGGTTGAATGCCCGGGTTTCACCGCTATTGTGTATCCCACAGTTACGCAACGTCGTCATTGGCCTGCAGGAGTTCATACATATGTAGAACTTCCTATTGTTCAGTTATTATTAGCGAGTTTCAGGTGACTTCTAAATCACAACCTCAACAATAATTTGGCGGACAATAAGAGTATTCATATCAGCCTGTGCTACGATATGTCGATGAGGTTACTCACTCTTCCACACACCTTCAAGTCATTATGACGATCAGCAAATTAGCTTAAGCATAAAATGGTTTGCATGCTCTGCAATTCCGGAATTGGTGTGTAATGCATTGAGTTTAACTTGCATGCATGCAGCAAAAAATTGCCCAAACCTTTAAAATTAATGGAATGGGAGCCTGACCTGAGCAAGCAAAAGTAGGCCAATAAACTGCAGCATTAGGAACAATGAAGGGTTGAGGGTCAGCTGAAGGAGAAGGTACAGCAAATACAGTGCATACACAGGAGGATATTTGAATTAACGTCACATTATTCAACGTTGGATGGCCATGCATCGACTGATGTTGCTACTACTAAACTCCTCACAGTGCAGTAGATGAAAAAGCCTTCTTTGCTGCCCATAATTCGCATATCAACAATTTAACACAAGCATATGCACCCTTATCCACCCTTTCTGGCAGTACTCACTCAAGCTGTAGATACATAGCTTGTGATCTGGTGTGCATGCTGATCCTGTGCAAATTTAAATTAATAGCACTACCACGACGATATTTGGTACTCCATATTCCTTTATGGTGTGCACGCATGAGCAATAATTTCCTTCTGACATAGACCTTTGACCTTTCCCTTTATGCGACATTTTTCATCCAAGTCTCAAATAAGCTGCCTTTAAAGGAGTTTTAATGGTGCGAACATGAGAAGTTGTAATTTATGGATTGTTGATGTCATTCGATGTCTGTCGTATTGTAACGTGCATAATTATCATGGCATCGTCTAAATTCATTCACCATATTGCACATGGACATATTTATCTGATGTAATTCGCACTGCCAAGTTTTGGAAATCGGACACTGTTTGGGTCTGAAATTAATGGGTTTGCTCCAAATCCCAGGTTTTACAAATTTGCGTATTATGTATGCAGCAGCGACTGTTGTTTGAACTTAGGAATAAAGGCCACATAAGTAACTGTAGCAAAAATTGGGTTGTTGTACCGAGTTAACCTAAGGGAATGAAGCCAAGAGCAACAAAGTCATCAAATTAGTTTCCCGACTGCCGTTGTGTTTTGTGTGATGATGAATTATATATCATTTTATTTGATTCTAGTAATGCAATCCAAATTGTGATGTGTGTAAAGGGTTGCTTTTTTATCTACTTGCTTCGAATGGAAGGGTATCTGCCTGCGTTGTGCCATAATTTATTCCGACCTTCAACCTTGAGACTTATTATCTCTCTCAGTCGCTGTAAATATGTGTGAGAGGATTTCCAACGTGTGTAGGGGTGACGATATTGCATACCGTCAATCGTCGGCTAACATTGAACTGCAGTCACCCACATATCTACGTAGGCACTTGGGGGAAGGTATGGATCCCGTCTAAGTCTTCATTAATCTTCCCCTTGAGTCTTGACAAAGTGAGGCTGGCCTTACTTTGTGTAAAATTAGCACATGCATTTGCAATTATTGCATTGAATTCGCTACTTGGAAAATAAAATATATGTGAACTTTTGATGGTCACCAACCTAGGGTTGAGGGTCGACAGTTCTAGAGGAGAGAGAGAGAGAAAGAGTGGATGCTCAAGGATTGGTTTGGTGGTATTGGGGATGATGTAAAACATTAATGAAAATCAAAACCAAATTGAATTATTTATTTTTTCATCTGATGACGTGCTTGTCTCTCGTATTTATTTATTTAGGAAATGATCAAGTTTTGGTCTGGCTGATTATTCGCACACCTGATTGTGCATAATGTTTGCGATATATACATTTATTTGTAGAAATACTTTAAGACTCCAAGCTGGGTTTGAACGGATCGGGTGGGTGCAAATGTAATAGCCCCAACCGAAGTAGAGCTGTTGAGATTATCTGCCAGATTGTCAGGTCATTGTCACACTTTTTGTAACCCCGAACCCGGGTATTTGGCAATTGGTGGGGTTTGGAATTAATGTGACAGATTCGGTTGTTCCAGTTTCTTAAACTCATAAGGAGGAAAATCAATACGCATGCATGTCTTGGTGAGCGAATTGCCAATTGCAGACCACGAATGTAGTTCACAGATGAAGTTTTGCTCGCAAAATTGTAGAACTGTATCAGTATCATCAGTGCGGCTGTTAAGTTGGAGGCTAAATCCTATTCACTACTTATTCAGCAATTTATTACACGGAGCAGGATGGAAAAGTTGCTGGCTTGTTATTTGCGTGAATATAGCGCTATATTGCTGGTGTGTATGTACACACGTATATTTGCACTCTCGCTCTCAACGAGCAATGGCGACTGACCTCATTTTCTGTGTCAGAAGACCAACGACCCACCAAGGCCAGGCCAGGCTACGCTCAATTCGCAACAAAAAATGCTCTCTCAACTTCTCTCCCAAACACTTCTTCCATATTTTCAGCTTCAAATTTTACAAAATTATTTTACAAAAGTTTAGAATGTTATGTAAGCTATTTTTTAACTTTATTTAACATGTCCAGCTGCACAAGTTTCCGACACTTTTCCTGCCATGAAAGACTGTATTGATTAGTGTCACAACTGTGCATGAAATCACTTATTCATTGGTCGAGTAATATTAGGACATGTCAAAAGTCAAGGGAGTCGTTTCCTTTTGCCTGTTCACGATTTTATTTTAGCTAGGATTCATAACACAAAAGATCACTTGACCATATTTCTGTAACTCATTTTTGCTCACAGTGCGGAACAAAAGCTGGTTATTCGTATCATGGGAGTTGTTGCAATAAGTGCATCATTTTTCTGTCCAACGAGTGGATTTTTATTTAGTGGTGGAGACATCGACATGAACCCTTAATTGGTGGTCAAACCTTGTTGCCAGCTTTGATTCAGCCGATAACAATTAAACTTTGCAAAATGAATTCAATCCCTGCTGCGTTGCATATGATGGCAAACTCTGCAAGCAAGACTGTAATAAGCTTATGCAGAATGCAGTAAAAAAAACTGTGCTCGTCGATTACATTAAATATGAGGAATTAC